ACAGCTTCCTGTCCGTTCATTGCTTTGTCTACTTAGATGTGGAATAGTTCTCTCAGAATTAGTTCAAGCGGTATCAAATTGAACATATTATCGTCAACTATCAACACCGAACTCTCACAAGAACATGTTTTCTCAGGCGTAATTCTTTTAGATGAAAGGAGCATCTTATCTAGCTTTATCATATCTTCAACATCCATACTAGAAGAACTGTCTTCTATGATTAATTACTCTTTTGATAGTTTCAATTAATATTGTTACGGCTATTGCTGTGGTTGTTAATCTTGTGATTTTTATTTACTTAGCTGTGTAAACTAAAGTGACTGCTAATTTTAATACTGATATCGAGATGGAGATTATAAATGAAGTTAGCTAGAAATGTCTTTTGTTCTGTCGAATGCTTTAACTCTGAAACTTGGCGAAATATGTTATTGCATCTATTCACCATTTTGATTAGGTATCAATAAGTTCTTATCTTTTTTCTCAATACTGTCAAGCATATCTTTGCTATTTGGTTGAAATAGCTAACTATATTTGCTGTCTATCCCAATTTAGATCAAAGTATTGTTAGAGTTATTCTTTTTACTGAATGACTGATTGTTATTTCTACTCATTTCATTATTTTAGTTCAACTTTAATTTGCTATCAGATTCTTTTTTATACTATTCCTAATTATTTTCCAATTCGAAGTCATTATTAGTATTTTAATTAGCAGGCTCCTCCTAGATAGTATTTAATAACCTGATTGCTCTCGATTATTATGACTGATTAGCCTTGATTAAGCTAATATTGTTTTGATTTTCGTTGAATTGATATACTTAGTTTCTAGCAAACTCTGTCCCTAATTCATTCATTGTAAGTCTTGAACTGCTAGAGCAATCTTCTTAATCTTGCTCTTGAATGATCTAACTTAGGTGACTACCTACCATTATTGCACTTTTTGCGGTTTTATCAATACATCTAGGTTTATGATTTCCAAATGACTTAGAGTGGCAAAGATCTGGATATATTTGTGACAGGCATACTGAATTATTGTCATTTTGAGTTTGAATTACACCAAATGTAGAATTTTTATAAGCTAATGAATCAGATTGTCTTTTACTTATCTGTCTCATACTTATTTTCTTCTCATTTTTACTATTGTTTATTTGCTGATATTCACTATTATCAATGGATGATTAAGCAGCATCACTGAAATCTATCACCTTGACCTAAAGCATAAACTAACTAGATTTTGAAGTTCTTGAAATATCTGTCCTTTTTTATTTATCTGTAGGCATTTTGATGGAGCTAGAATCTTTCTTAGCATGCAGGCTTCTCTTCATTGAATCTATTCTCATACTCTAGTAATTTTAAGTTAATTAATCAAATCCTACTGAACTTGTTGGAGTCAGATTCTATTATAATTAAGCATTTACCTTTCCGCTTGGTGTAGGCCTTTAATTTTTCCTAATAGATTTCATTCTTATAATTTATTCTAAATCTTGAACCTTATCTCCAAATATTATCTTCTTCTTAGTTGGGTTTGTAGGCTAGTTCATATAGGGGTTTTAAGATATTACACATTATGCTGATTTCATTTGATTTGCAAACTTAGATTTTCCAATTTAGCTCATTGGAGTATTAGGCTAATAAAATGAGTTAGGTATTGGAATCAAGCTTTTAGGAGTTTTGCTGGGCTCTCTAATGTTATAAGGTTACAAAGTCTTTTGCTTGTGTAATATCAGTCCAGCTCTAGAATCGTTCAGTGCCTATTGGATTTCATATGCTTCTTCTTTGATATTAGTTCCCTTAAATTAGAATAGCGAAGATTCAGCATCGCTTTAAGTTTACTATTATTTATGACTTTTTTATGCTGACTATTACTCTAATTCAGCTCTGCATTATTTGCACATAATATTTATTGAAAACTAAAATTTAGAACCTTAGTCTTATTAGGAATCGCAACATATTTGACCCCCTAGGAAATTAACTAGTTCCTTACAAATACTAAGTCCTAGTCCTACTCCGTTAGATCTGATAATACCTTCATCAGAAACTCTTTTGAAATTCCCAAAAATTTAAAAAAGGTTTCTCATTGCATCCTCATCCATTCCCTATCCAGTGTCCTTTATGGAAGTAATTAAAGTACCACAACCATAAGTTGGACAACTTTATAGTCTCTTAAAGTCTAAGAAAATATCAAAACCACCTTATTATGTGAATTTAACAGCATTCTATATCAAATTTAATATTATCTGCTGATATTTCTTTGCATCGAAATAGAGTGATGACGGAGTCCCTAAGGAAATCTCAAAGGTGCAAGTTAAGTTTTTGCTTTTTATTTAAATCTCAAAAAGTTCTAGAATCTCAAAGCACGCTCTTTATAGATCAAAATTTTAATTGTTTTATTCAAGCTTCCCAGTTAGAATGCACTTAAGATCTATGAAGTCTTGTATTAAGTAATGCATTAGAATTGCAGAATTGTGAACAATCTTGATTAAAAATAATGTTTCTGTCACGCTCGAAGCATTTTCTAAGAGTTTGATGCTTTTTGTGTCATCCTAATGACTAAGTTTCCCCCTACTACTCTCTAGTAGACTATTTTCAAACTTTCTTCTTATTATACTGGAAAGATTAATAATAGAATTCAAAGGTGTAAGCATTTCATGCGAAACTGATGCGAGTAGTAATTGTTAATACTTAGAATCATTTTTATGCTTCTCATAATTGATGATGGAGGATATATTTTTTATGATGATTAGCATCTGATCTTGTCTGTTGAATTGAATATTAAATTTCTGTACCTCTACTGACCACATATCTTCCTTGTTTTATGATTCCTGGCTTAAATTATTCCCAGATTCATGTGATGATTAACTATCAGGTCCTACTAATTCAAAATAATTGCGATAGAGATACCTATCTTGCTCGTCTATTTACATATTCTGATCTTAGATAATATCCATTAGACTCAACCATTTCTCTTCTTCTTGTGATTCTGCATGAAGGTAGTAGGCTTTGAATATTTTTTTATTCAAAGTTTCACTTCTATCATTGTTTTCTGTATATTCAATAAAGGATTTCAATTATTGATTTATGTAAGAGATTTTCCCCTATTCATTAGCAATCAAAATTCCTTCAGCAAAATTGTCAATAATTCTTTAATAGTCTTATGTCAGAACAGTGTTCTTGTCTTTTTCATATAGTAGCCTGTTCATTCTTTTAATTTAAAGTACAAATGAGGATACTATGACAAGAAGATTCATCATTATTGACATGAGTAACAAGTAAATGGTTTGATTTCCAAAAAAATCTATTAGGTCTCTCTTAAAAGATCTTTGAAATATGTAAAATTATGCTATTCCATAAATTATTATGAGGGGTAACCTTTTCAGTAAATTTTTCCTATCAAACTAGTCCACTAAAACCAGTTAATTAGAAATTATGTAAATTGTAATTATTTGGAAACTCATGTACTAAATCATCAGACTAGCTCCGCCCCCAAGGTCATAGTAAGGAAAGGAAATAAACTGTGTAAGTATACCAATCTCAGGAGCAAACTATAGCATGAAACTCCAACGTTTAACAGCAAACATTAATATAGTGTAGATTATCATCAGGATGTTACCAACTAAAGCAAGGGCTAAATCTATAGTGCTTTCATTTAGAGACATATAATCAGTTTAGAGTTGTTCTTTTGACTCAGATTTCTAGGTCACTTCTCGATAATAGTCAATACCAGCTCCAATAACTCTAACAAAAAGAATTGTGCTGACGATTACATTAGCAGTTTTTATAATGTCTTGCGAGGTGTTGTCTAATTTGTTTTTAAACATCTTAATTATGATAGGAGATAAAATAATTAGTTGAAGTACTTTCACAATTAAAATTTAAACTTAATAAATATATAAACTAACAAATGCTGATACACTTCAACTCCTAGATTTTCATTTATTGGGCTCTTGATTACTTTATTTAGTTTAATGTATTCTTTCTGTCTCTTCTCTAAATGACATTATCAAACTGTCAAAATAAGCAAGTTCTTGAAATCTGTATCTAATTTAATCACCTATCTATGTTGTGTTATTTTTAGCTAATTCTCCTAATTCTTCTCTCAAATTATAGTTAAAGCTGATCATTGAACCAAAAATGGAGCTTATGATAGAGATTCTTTTAAATATAGAGAATGGACTTATGAAATTAAAACCAAGAGCAACTATTGGCGGCAGCATAATTAGTACTTAAAAAGATTTTCGACTACTTTCAAAGCATTCTTTTTTCATATTGATTGTAAACACTTTTAGTAACTCCTTGTAGTGAAAGATCTTCAATCTCGCCATCATTAAATCATTAAGAAACTCATTATCTTTGTTCTTCTTCATAAAGTTTTCAAATGTCTCCCTTTCATATTGCTCATTTCTTTTGAGAACCAGCTTTAAATTTTCCATTGGTTTATTAAAAGCTTTTATATTCCAAATTAATTATAATTTAAATTACTTTATTATAAATCATGGAATAAATTTTTTCAAAATAATAACTCTCAACAACTATTTACGATGAATTAATCAACTTATTATAATCAAAAAAGAAGAGAATTTCTGAATTATAAACAAATTAAGACTTTTCGGATGAAGCATTCAGATTACTATTAGCTAATGACTACTCAAAAATATCTGATATAATGGCTCAAGCACTTGGACCAATTTTGTTTAATAATGTTATAAGTAAAATTTAAGCAAAAACTAAATAAAGAGAGGAAGATAAAATTGAAAAGAATAATTAATAAAAAATTGAAATTATTGAAGAATAAAGACAGTAAATGCTGGAGTAAGGTCCATAAATACTAAATTTATACAATTGTACAGACTAAAATAAAAAATTCAACCAAATTCTTATGTTTAGGGAAAAAATTTTAGCTATTGATAATGATGCAGGCGGTAAAATTAAAATCTTTAATTAAAATTTGGAGATGATAAATGAACTAGACTTGATAGGACAGGTATTCAGCAAATTTAATGATAAGGTTATTGTTTCCTATAATAATAAAATAAGCATAATTTTAGATCTAGATTCAGACCATCAATAGATAGAGAAATTCGCTTATGGTACTAAATTTGAAATAAATAATATAGTAAAAATAAATAATGACATCTTTTTAACTGGATAAAACTTTGGGTATATTGACCTCTTTAGTATTAAGAATAAAGAACATTCACAGTCTTTTAAAATCAAGAATTTTACTGGTATTTCTGAAATTTGCTTTATAAAAAAGAGGCTTAAATAATATTTAATTGCTATTAGTTGTAGGAACTAAGGTGTTAAGCTAGGTCTATTAATTCAAAAAGGACAAGATGGCTATGAATTTATAGCAGATCAAAATCATGTAATTTAGTCATAAAGTGTCATTTCTATAATAAGTATCAATAAGAATCAAATTGCTATTACAGCAATAGTGGAAGGATTTACCCCTATCTTTAAAATAGTAAGCATTTAAGGCTTAGGGAAGTTTTATTAAATTTTCTCTTTGAAATTAACACATGAAGCAAGTTTATTTAGAGTTCATGGTTATTAGTATAAGAAAAATCCATTTATATTTATGAAAGATGGGAATAAAGTTTCAGTCTTAAACTTGCAAAATTTAGAAATCACATTCCTATATGAGTCCAAGTTTGAAAATTATAATTTAAGGTAAACTTTAATCTGTAACAAAATGTTGACCAAATAAGGCCTGATAAAAAATAATATCTACAGATTATTTGATTTGCAAAATTACCTAGGTAACTTTGATCATAAGTAGAGATAAAATGAGGAAATAAATGATATAAGAGAGATCATAGTACTTCTATGATTATTTTAAAGCTAAAATTCAATATTTTATCTTAATTATTAAAATGAGTAAAAAATATTAATGATTATTTGATTATTTTCATTTCAGGTAGGATATTTATTCTTAAGGGGTTTTGGGGTTTTGGGG